CAGGTCATCAGCAAATAGCAGCGATGGTACCTCAAGCTCCGCGGGTAGGTCATTCACATAGACAGAGAACAGCAGCGGTCCAAAGACCGAGCCCTGCGACACGCCACTGAGGACAGATTGCCTAAACGATAGGCCACGGCCTATCCATACACACTGTTCTCTGCCATGCAAGGCAGTCACCCAGTGAAGGGCGCGGCCAGATACCACGCAGGTCAGCTTTTGCGCGAGCCTCAAATGGAGTACCTTGTCAAATGCCTTCGAAAAGTCGACGGAAAGCACGTGTAGTGCGTGGCCGTTATCCACTGCATCCGCCCAACTTTCGCGAGCCACCAGTAAATTCGTCAGACACGAAAATCTCTTCCGGAATCCGTGTTGTACACTGCTAAGTAGATTAAATCTACTCAGATGACTCTTCAATGAATCACTCACCAGTTTCTCGAGGAGTTTGACTACTACACTCGTCAGACTAACTGGACTGTAATTTGCAGACAGACTCCTGTACCCATTTTTGAAGATGGGACAGATGACAGCTTCCGTCCATTCGGAAGGTAATGTACAGCTGTCAAGCGATTTCCGAAATACCATAGCGAGCGGTCCACTTAGTTCCGCAGCCAACTCATGCAACAGTTTCGGATGAATTAAATCACGCCTAGAGGCCTTAGAAGGCTTCAGCCCTTGTACCAGCCTACGAACTTCCGTCTCTGCTACAATAAATTCAGATAGTCCTGAACCCTCTGGGATTTTGCAAAACAGCTCAACGCCTGTCAAAGAGGTTTCCCTTACAAACGCTGCTGCATATTGCCCACTAAGTACGCAGGCCTTGTCACAGTCCGTATGCGCATGAGTACCGTTTTACTGACTTACCATACTGATTCTATTTCTTGACCGAAATATCGTTGAAATATCGTTTTTGAATAAATACTGGGAACAGAATTTGACTCTGGTCAAACTCTTTTTATATATCAAGAGAAGAACTGTTTCAGAAGACACCTGCAACAAGATTTGACTTCATTGGTGTGTAGAGAGTAGGAGGGGAGACCCTTGTTAGCTCCGTCGATTCACATTCAGTGCAGGTTTGACGCAACTGGCTGCGAAGCGTCATTCCTCTGGGGATCGTTGCCGTTGCAGTAGGAGCAGCACAGACCTGTTGTACTCAGCAGATGGCAGTCAAGCAGTCTGTAGCGGAATCGTTCGGTCGCTATATGTCAGGTTCGTCCCGCCTCAAGGGAAAGTCGGAAAAAGACGGATATATGGGCGAGATAGACGTTTATTGTCGAAACGCATAATCCCGCTAGCTGAAGGCACCGTAAAATGGTTCTAGCTAGGGGAAAGGTATCGTCGCCAGTCGAGACGCAGCGAACACTCTCCGAGGCGGAAAAGTCAGAAGCGCGCGAATGCCATTCGTATGGATGACTCAGACATACGCAGTCATCGTGCGAACAGGCGAGCTTCCTAAGTTGTCTATGTACAGAATGATATATTTTAAGAATCTTTTACAGACCAACAAGACAATCTTCAGGTCACTACATAGACCCCCTCCTAGAAGGGAACCCTTAGTGACCCTTCGAAATGCGTGGGGACTGTCGGTCGCGGGTCAGCCTTCTGCGAGACTAGGCGGTGAAACCTGATGCAGCTGCTGGGGGAGAACCAGGCGATCGGACCCTAGCGGGCTCCCTCCCATGTCCTCACTTAAGGTGCCGAGAAAAGAAAACGGGGAGTACATTCGTTACATACGATCACTTGTGTTTGACCACGAGTGAGTGTTCTCCGGTTCGCAACAGGAAAAGAAAGAAACGGGGGAGGTCAGGCCTGCAGAAGAGGCGACAGCAACGGACGGGAAAAGCACTCACCGAATAGGCAGCGAAAAGTCAAGGAAACAACTCTTTTTCTCGCTTTTCAAAACGTTTTCTCCATTTCTCCTTCTAGTTTTCAAAAGCTTTTGCGATATTTTGGGTTTTCAAAACATTTTGCGTTCTTTTTACGGTTTTCGGAGGGTACTGATGGGAAGGAAAACCTGAAAACGCTTTTAGAAGCAAAAATGCTAAGCTAACGTTCTAAGAAACATGTCAGCCAGTGGACCTGACGACCAGACCTAGTAACCTTTTTAGATGTGGCGGAGTCAGAGGGCTCAGGAGGCGGGTTTCCAGTTGTGGTGTTGCTGTCTGCAGGCGTTTCCTCCACCATTCGTTGGGTCGATTCATTGGAGGACGAAGAACTGGTGTCGTCGTTCGACTCTGGTTTGACCTAAGCAACTTTGAGGCGGTTGTTTGAGACGGGTTCGCGTTTGCCGTTGCGTTCGATAAGGAAGAAGCGATCCTTACGTTGTAAGACCTTGAATGGACCTCGTAAGGTCGTTCGAGTGGTCTGCGTAGACCATCAATGCGAATGAAGACAAACGGGCAGTGGTGAAGATCCTTGGGAACGTAAGACTTGCGATGCTGCTGTCGATTTATTGCGGCGCATGCTCGTGGCTAGCTGCCGAGCGTAGTGCACGTCGTAGTGAGGAGTGTTCGGGCTTTCATAGAAGAAGTCGCCTAGTAATCGGAGTGATTGCCCATAGACCAGTTCGGCGCTGGACGTTTCGAGATCGGCTTTCAGTGCTGATCGAATTCCGAGTAGTAACATTGGCAGAACTTCTGTCCAACTAAATGCATTGGCGGCACTTAGCAAGGCTTTAAGTTGTCGGTGGAAGCGCTCCATCATTCCGTTTGCTTGCGGATGGCAGGCAGTTGTCCGGGTACTTTTACATCCGAGGGTTTTGAGTAGGTCATTGAATGTCGACGATTTGAATTGTGGACCACGGTCGGTGGTCACAGTGGCTGAACAGCCATGTGAAGTGACCCAACGCTCGACGAATGCGCGCGTTATTGTCTCAGCTGATACATCGGTAATTGGAACAGCTTCAGGTCAAAGAGTGGCACGATCCACCATGGCCCGAATGTAGACCATGTTATTGGACGGCGGAAGTGGTCCAACGATGTCGAGGTGGACATGAGCGAATCGAGTTGATAGTGACGGGAAGCGTCCTATCGGAGCGGCAACATGTCGATGAAATTTTGCTCTCTGGCGAGTCAGACAGTTGCGTGCCCAAAGTCTGACGTTGCGTTGCATGTTAGGCCAGACGTATCTGTCGGCAATCTCATCTTGACTGAAGCGCGGATGCCAGGATGCACGATGTTGTACAGCGTATCGGAGACTTTTCGGCGAAAGGCAGTTGGTACCAGTGGAAGTGGATGTCCGGTAGAGACGTCGAAGATTATTGTACCTGTAGGCGAAGGAAGCGGTCTAGGTACAACTTTAACGTGGACTCTTCGCAGGATAACATTAGGTCATTTTCGGCTTGTTGAGCAGCGGCCATAGCTGATAGATCGAGCGACTGATCGGTCGGAGCCAGAGCGTTTACTCTTGAAAGCATGTCCGCCAGGATGTTATCCTTGCCAGACACGTGTTGGACGTCCGTCGAAAACTGAGACACGAAATCTAGATGACGAACTTCACGCAGAATGTCGGGGCGAATGGTTCCGGAAGGTATAGACGAGTGGTTTGTGAGCTGTAATGATCGTAAAATGATTACCTGCGAAAACGTGATGAAAATGGCGAACGGCGGAGTATACGGCGAGTAACTCGCGGCCAAATGTGCTGTATTTCGACTCGGCTGTCTGAAGACGTCGGGAGAAGAACGCTAGTGGTTGCCAATTACTTTGGGAAGAGTGGTGTAGAGCAGCACCGGTTGCGTTAGCCGAGGCGTCGACGGCTACACTGATTGGAGCGTCCGAGTCGAAGCGATGAAGCATGATGGCGGAAGCGAGTGGTTCTTTGCTAGCTTCGAATGCTGTTCGTGCTTCAGGTGTAAGACCAACTTTACCGTTCTTGCGTCCACGCAGAAGATCCGTGAGCAGTTGTATAAGCTCGGCACAGCGTAGCAGGAATCGGTGGTAGTATTTGACCATGGCGTTGAAGCGTCGAATGGCGGCTAGAGTCGCTGGATGTAGGAAGTCGCGAACTACCTGGACTCTATTATGCAAAGGGTAAATACCCTCGGAATCCAGTTGGTGTCCGAGGAAGTCAATGCGCGGCTGCATGAAAATGCACTTGTCGGGGTTGACGGTGACGTTGTGCGCCTTCAACCGTTCGAACAAGAGTCGTAGATGTGTGCAGTGTTCCCCTTCCGAAGAACTGGCCATTAGGATGTCGTCGATGTAGGAGTGGACGAAGTTGAGTCCACGTAGGACGGTTGATGAACCGTTGAAACGTCTGCGCGACGTTGCGCAGAGCGAATGGCATTCGTAGAAACTCGAATAGTCCAAATGGTGTAATAACGGCCGTTTTCGGTGTCCTCGTCGCCGACCGGTATCTGATGATAAGCCCGCACCGAATCGATCTTTGAGAACACGCGAGCGCCACGAAGACCGGCTGCATTATCCCGTATGTGAGGGATAGGACAACGATCCGGAATTGTCACGTTGTTGAGAGCGCGGTAATCGCCACATGATCGCCAGTCTCCTGACTCCTAAAGCCAAATGAAACTCCTTTACCAAGGGCATCTGCATTACCAAAAAATGCTGAAAGTGAAGTTTGGTCAAACATGAGAAAGAGCTTTACGTGGTTGCGACTGTCTGCAGTTATTCGCTACATGACGCTTCTTAATGTAGACGCTGACTTGTCTCCACAGCTCGCAACAATTTTCCCCTCAGTAACAAGCGACATCCAACGAGCATACAAAGTCAACCTAGAATAGTAAAGGATCTACGCCTAGGAGTTCATACAAGTCCACTACTGTAATATTCATTCGGTCCGGCGCTCTGAGCTCTTCCGTCTCCGAGTAGTGCGACAAGCTGCAATGCAAAATAAATATCTCGTAGACGGCTGTACGCTCGAGCCGCCTAGTAAGAGGCCGATGTAAAGGAAGCAGCAAAGGAAGCACGGAAGAGGAAAGAAAAAGTGCCGGAGAGGAATATGAGGGTAATGGTAACAGGAAGCAAAACCTATCGACCTCTTACCTGTTAACGTGTTACCGTGACGCCCGCGGACCGGCTGTTATCAAAGCTCTTAGCAGGCGCTGTCCTCAGCGTCCATAATGGCCCATACCGGCATCAATTTATGTACCTGAAAGTGGCATTGAGCGCGGTATAGTAGGCTCGGGAGATTCAACGACAAGCAGCACGATGGTAGAAGGCTAATGATTGCCTCAAGGGCTACAACCTAGCTAGGGTGGACTGCTGTCGTGAACTGGCAGGGTCGCCAATTTTGTAATATTCCTTCGGTCCGGCGTTCTGAGCTCTTCCGTCTCCGAGTAGTGCGACAAGCTGCAATGCAAAATAAATATCTCGTAGACGGCTGTACGCTCGAGCCGCCTAGTAAGAGGCCGATGTAAAGGAAGCAGCAAAGGAAGCACGGAAGAGGAAAGAAAAAGTGCCGGAGAGGAATATGAGGGTAATGATAACAGGAAGCAAAACCGATCGACCTCTTACCTGTTAACGTGTTACCGTGACGTCCGCGGACCGAGTACTACGCCGTAACTCGATTTTTTGGCGTGCCATACTGATCGAGCTTTTCAGCTGAAATAACGTGGAAAACAGTGTTTGAATAAACACTTGAAACGAAATTTGACTATTGTCAAATTTTCTCTGATCCAAGATATCTTGGATCGATTAAATTGGTACTGGATAAAGCGTCTTTGGCGCTTACTGGTAATTTTTCCGGTTGTTCCCAGTTTTAATCCCGTTTTGCACCCTGTTTTTGCATTTTTATTGCGGTCGTTTTCCTATTGTATACGTGTTGTAATTCTAATCTGTTTTCCACATGAACATGGCTGTCTCGCTAAACACCGAGACGTATGGACCTATGGGGTCGTCGTTTGATGAGTCTACTGCAGCTTGCGGACTGTTTAACTGTTCAGAGCCAGTAACAGATGCATCTGGTGGTATGCAGTGTGACGTCTGCTGCCGCTGGTATCACGAAAGCTGTACCGGCCTACAAGCTGACCAGTACAAAATGCTACCATCAAGCGTCCACTTTCTTTTCAGCTGCGCTGAATGCTGCGCTAAAAGATCGACGCGCCCGGCTGTCACCGGTGCTAAACTTTCAGCGCTGGCTTCAAGATTGGCAGATGTTGAGTTGGCGATAGCTAAACTCGCCTCTATTGCGTCGCTCGATACGAAAATGGATTTGACTTTAAAATCCCTAAATATTTCGTATGAAGACACAGCAATAGCCGGCAACATTGCTGACGATCCATCCACTGGAGTCTGTCACTCGATCATAAAGTCGCACATCCTACCGGCCAATCCAGGTAGCATTGCTGGCGGTCCTCATGATCTGATCAAAGTGAAAAAATAGGGTGCGGAAATACCAAAAGCCCTCCGCTAAACCCAGAGAAATAGTTGCCACGGCATCGAAAGAGATGCAGTCTTTGACAGTCATAAAGTCGTCTGACGATTACACACAGAACTTTCCACAGACGCTGGCTGTCTCGGCCGCCAGTGAACCAGCCTGTTCTGACGAAATGCTGGTAAATGCTCAATGCGATACAAAGTCAACGGCCCCTGCTCCAGTGAGCCAAAAGAAGAAGCGGACAAGATCTGTTCGTAAAACTTCGAAGGGGCTTGAAGACCCAGGAACCAGTAAGACGCCGGCAATAGAGCGGAAAACCTACGCTCCCGTTGCTTCGGCGTCGAAGCCAGGGACAGTCCCACCGCCAGTGGTGAAAACAGCTGGTATAGGTGTCGACTCCAAGGCACGTGGGGTAAACACTCCCCGTCGTGCCGACTCTTTCACGGATAGTAGCGTTATATTTCGTAACGTTACTGAATCTGAGGCCGTTCTCCCAAGGGAACGCATCTTGGATGACATCAAGTGGCTGAAACTGTGTGTCAGCAAGCTGCTTCCACCTGGTTTCCCTGGTGTCACTGTCAGAAAGCTGACCAGATTGGGGAACGTTCCTATCGCTACGCCAAATCCACGACCCCGACTACTTCGCGTAGTCCTTTCTACCCCGGAGGAACGCAAATCCTTACTGCGATTTGCATTCAAACTTAAGGGTAGTGGTGTCAGCGTTCAGCCGGACCTACCACTGGCAGATAGATTGAAGTTAAAGGAGGCTATCAAGGACCTCAAAACTAGACGGGCGGCTGGTGAGCAAGGCCTCCGTCTGGTGGGTTTTCAGGTGGTCAGCCGGAAGTTACTTTCCGCCCTATCAGAACCAATCATGATGGCGCACGACCCAGGGATGGTCGTGCCGACTTCCTTGAGGTAGTACTTAGCAACGTGCGTAGCCTAAGGAACAAGGTGCACGAGTTGGGTCTACTTGTAGACAAATCTCGTCCCGACATACTTGCTTTCACTGAGACGTGGTTGTCTCCGGATATCACGGACGGTGAGGTATATTTGCCTGGCTACGCGCTGCTTAGAACTGATCGCTCCGTTGGTCGCCAAGGCGGAGGCGTTGTACTGTATGTGAGCTGTAACAGATGTGTTGAGGACTTGCACATTCCAGTCGTCGGATCAGACTGTTGAAGCCCTATCGGCTGTTTTGTGTACTTCCTCTACCCAGTTTACAGTTATAGTGATATACAGAAGTCCTGGAAGTTCCTCCAGGGAGATACTTGACTTTATTCGCACTCAGTCTGCGAATAAGTGTTTAGTTCTAGGGGATTTCAACCTCCCAGAAGTCTGTTAGGCCGATCTTTCTTGCAATTCGGCATTAGGAACATTCGGTGCAGACTTCCTTGAACTGACTCTCCAAGTGCCTTTACACCAGTTCGTTGACTTTCCCACTAGGTATATGGACAACCAAATGCCATCTACTTTGGATTTGGTTTTCGCTAAGTCCCTGGACTTCGTGACTGACGTTTCATGCGGTGCACCTCTAGGGTCCAGCGATCACGCATGCATATCCTTTCGATGTGCTCTTTCAAGGCACCAAGAGACCGCTGTTGAATTACTTCCGAATATTTGGCGGGCGGACTTTAGTGCAATGCGAACTAAGGCTTCAGTTCTGAACTGTGAGATCTCGATGGCTGACTCTGTCCAGTTAGCCTGGGATAAATTTAAGGCATACCTTACGGAGGTTTCCGCTCCCTATATTCCACTCATTAGGAAAAGAGGGTTAAGGTCGCAGCCTCCATGGATAGATACCACAGGCAAGTACCTACTCAAGAAACGGTCTAGATGCTGGCGAACCTACCAAGCAGCTCCATCAGCCAGTACCTATGATAGTTATCGAGAGAATAGAAATAAATGTAAGCAACATCTCAGAACTGCTCGTCTCCAATACGAGCAGGGTTTAGCGGACTCGGCCGCAGCTAATCCCAAGAAGTTTTTTGCTTACGTTAAAAGACGCAGCGGGGCAAAACAGTCTATACCAGCTTTATTGCGTGCAGACGGGACCCGTGCGCAAACTGACTATGACAAGGCTTGTATACTGAGTGATCAGTATCATGGGGTCTTTGCTCGGGAGACCTCTTTACCACAGGTTGAATTGGTTTCAAGAGTTCCAGAGGATTCTTGCTTAGCTGAATTTAGCATAACGGAGACTCAGGTCTTCGAGCTACTGCAAGGCATTAATCCCTCTAAAGCTTCCGGTCCTGATTCAATTCATCCGAAGCTGTTGCATGAACTGGTCACTGAGCTGAGTGTGTAGCAGTCTGGAGATTCCCCGGTTTACCTGTGTAAAATTCTAACCAAAATTCTATAATTGTACACCTAGGCAACCGGTGTGGTTTGTTGAGCTGATTGCTGAGTTTGAATGCTTGACTTGCTCATCGCCATTTTTGCTTGGCGCTCGTTTCGGTTGCAACGCGCAACTGCCCTGTGTGCTGTGCTTGATCCGTTCCCCTAGCTAGAGCGTCCACGGTGTCGTCCTTTTATAGCTAGATAACAGGGAATCTTTTACTGTACCAATAAAAGTTTCCCTGCAACTCGATCCGTCTTCTCGAATCGCTCTCTGGGCTCCCGGAATAGGCAACCCTCTAAATTGGTGACCCCGAATCCGGATCAACCTCAGCGCCGGATATTTAAAACTTTTCTCTGGTGAGCTCGTTCCATTTATTTTTCATATTTTCCGGTTTATTCTTGCATACGGTAGCTTATTTTTTGCGTTATTTTTTAAAAACCATGGAATCTGTAGACCATAACGTAGAGTCTCGACTAAGCGTTGTATCTCTCTCTGTGCCACCTTTTTGGGACATCGATCCTCTTTTGTGGTTCGCTCATATATATATATATATATATATATATATATATATATTATACACAATCTGTGGTACAGATATTGTGCCATCGGAATCATGGCTGAATAGGAAAACAATATGAATAATAAGAAAAGAGCAACAAGAAATGCTTTTTTTGTCAAGTTTACCACTCACAGTTTTTGAAATTTTTTTTCAGTTTGTTCGTTTTTAGGGGGAGGAGGAAGGGACACCGCAACACACTGATGCACACGTCCGCCATTGACATCGATCTTGAGCCATAACTTCCAAGGTTTTCAACCAGCAAGTATCCTCGTCTCTCGGACCCCAACCAGGTAGTCGACAACAACCGGCCGAGGCCAATTGTTTCGTCAACTTTTTCATGCGGCTTCTCCATGTTGTAGGCTGTCCACCAGACCGTCTCTTCCAGCCCTGTCCAGCAAGTGCAAACAACGCACGACGGGGGTAACGCTGGACAGGCATGCGCAATACGTGTCCCAACCACCGCAGTTGATGCAGTGAGATGAGCTCCTCGAGCGAGTGGCTTCCACATCCCAAGACACGCTGTCTAACTTCCACATTGCTTACGTGGTGCTGCCACCACACACGGGCAATGGACCGCAGACAGCGGTGCTCGAAGACGGATAGCCTGCGCAAGTCATCTTTACGAATGGGCCAGGTCTCGCATCCGTACAACAGTACAGCACGAACAGTTGCACAATAGACCCGCCCTTTGATGGAGAGACGAATGTCGTGGCGACGCCACAAATGCCTCAGCCTAGAAAAAGCGAGGCGTGCTTTCGAGATGCGCATCGAAATCTCGTCTCCAACAGCCCCGCCAGCAGTGATGCAACTTCCCAAGTAGACAAAGCTCTCCACAACCTCCAGTGTCTCACCAGCAAGCGTGAGTGCAGGCAGAGGCACCTGCCAGTCTTGAAGGAGAGCCTTGCATTTGGATGGCGAAAAGCACATACCATACTTTGATGCTTCAATCGTCAAGCGGTTTAATGCAAGTTGGACGACCTGTGGATCGTCACCTAGCAAGACGATATCATCAGCATAATCCAAATCAACAACTCGACTACCTGGGAGGAGCTCAACGCCAGCGTTCAACGAATCGCTCA